TGGCAGTATCCTAGCCCTCGTGCTTCCTTCGGGTGGCATGGCAGCTAGACACCGAAGGGGACTACAGCTGAACGATTATCTTATATTATTTATTTTTATTTCGTTCTCGCAAAATACAACTGATGTGTCACACTGTACCGCCCCATAAGATTCATTCCGATTCGTCAATGGTCAGACCAAAGAGTAATTCTTGCACTGGGCTCAATTTATGGTTATCTGATGTCTCGAACAAAGTTTGCGTGCAGAAAGATTTGGTGTGTTGAGCTTGGCTTTGTCATGAATGTCTGACCCATCACATATTCCCTGATGGCCGTCCATATCCACTACCCCATTTAACGTAAGTTCTTCCCCTTCGTCCAAGTAGATGTGTTTCGAAGTTCAGTGACCTTACCAATTGTCAAGTTGTGTCCCGAATATCGATAGTTCACACCTTCCCTACATCCATTTCATTGCTATCTGACTACTATCATTATGGTTTCAATGTTCGTGCTTATTGCGATGTGGAATAACACGTTGCGAGTTCGGGTGAATCCGTCAAGGCTTTGTTTTCTCCCAATGGAATCAACGGAAAACGACACTCTCCCTTTTCTTCACACTTCACTCACTGGATGATCTAGTGACAAACTAACAGAAAACGGATTTTTCCCAGGGCACTCAGAGCGAGTCATCTGACATGCTACCAATATCGTAATTGTTTGGTTTCCAAAAAAACAGCATATTAATTGAGCGCCTCGCTGGGTGAAGATGCATAGGAATGGAAGTAAGGAACAATCGTGAGACAATGCTGCTTAAGCAGGAAGACTTATTATAGCAGCGTTAGACTATGGACTATTCTGGAAGCGAATTCAGTAGTACCAGACACGAGATTAACTGTGAAATTTGGTTGTCTGAAGGCACGGTACAGAGTGCACAGGTGTGACGATAGGAAAGGCCGTACAGAAGACCAGAAAGTATACGGATGGAGCTATCGGAATCTCCTGTGTCTTCCGCCGTGGATACACGGCAACTTTGTGTGATGACTCTGTTGTTTAGGAGGAAGCTCCGCAGTCAAAATCTCGAAACAGCGAAACTTCGCAAGCAAATGAAAAGCTTTGCAAAAAGGGTTGATTCTCGTTTGTGTGATTTCCCAGGGGGCACATCATTAAGCACTGAATGACTAAGGACCGGTTTCTTGATGAAAGTAATTGACGGAAGTTTTACCGGTTGGATCTGTACATTGGTTTGTTTGATAGGACGTAGGATGCGAAACCAGCCAACTCGGGGAGGGGGGGGGTTCGCGTTTTTCGCATTGCGACAATAGGATGTTCTGTCTTGTCACATATGTCGCAATATGTTCGAACGGCACAGCTAGTTTCAGGCCATCTTGTTGGTTCTGCGAGGCGCCGAGCATATCGGATACCCTGACGCCATCAACTTTACACTGATTTCAGTGAGATGGCACAGTTAGTGGACAGGGTTACAATGGTGACTTACGTTGTCCTCAAGTCTATCCATCTCCGCTCCGGTTCCAAGTTTAGATTAGGGGGCACGGGTGTGGTGTAAACAGTCAGGACGTAATGACCAGTCGATGTCCTGGTTTCGGGTTTTAGTTTAGACGGGTGTGGTGTAAACAGTCAGGACGTAATGACCAGTCGATGTCCTGGTTCCGGATTTTAGAACTAACACGCTGACCAGACCAGATCTTGCCTAACCGTGGAGTTGAACGACCGAACCTCAGTGCCCACTGGTCCGACCGTGGCGTGAAACGGTTCAGTGCCATCACCTACAGCATGTGGCAAGTCCCTCAACCCTTCCACTGTTGGTGAGCAAGTCCGTAGCAAATGGAACCAATGAAAGCTGAGCATAGTTTATGAATAATGCCGGGGTTATTTTTATCCATTAATGTGCACCTTTTATCCATCTGAAAATGCCGGAATGGGGCTGAAGTGTGGTAGCCCAGTAGAACGTTTGTTGTTGCGAAACAAACTAATAGTCTGTGTTTATCGAACCAACGCCCAAACTCTGCGTGACAATCCTACGACACACAAGGCCGTGTGGTTAACACATAACAGATATCTCTGCAGACGTCGGATACCAACCGATTTCCTGGCGGAGCACTCATTATCTCCGGAACCAATGAAATGAACTTTGTAGTCACGTGTAAGTCAGCTCATCCTATCAAACGAAGCTTGCAGAACACGAAGAAAACGTCAGATACCCTCATTTTTACGGAAGATTTAACTGAATCCAGCCGAACCCCTCGCTTCCAATGATCTTCTTCAAGTTTTCAGCAAGTTATGGAGTGCGATATGTCTAGACATAGAAGAGAACTTCTTCGAAAACTCATGTCATTTCTCATCGGCAAAAAGTACTCTAGCTCCAGCTGACGGACAGTATCATACACGTGTTGACCTGTCAATACTGTGCATAAAAATGTACACTGATAAGAAGCAATAAAATATCCGGACCTACTTGAGCTGTACGAGAATGCAGCTGATATTACGGTATTTGTTTGGAGATGAGGATGCTGTACCCAAGAATGTGATTTCCGGATAGGCATCCTCTACTGAAGTTGCTGAAATGACAACAGTGAGTGGGAAGTGTAGAGTGCTGTAAGAATTAAATCGAACATGAAAATAAAACCAATGAATAAGATTTCTAAGACATTTGAAAATGGCGGGCCGTTGCGTAACCAAGCAGAGTTACATTTGATTGGCTACGGAAAGGTCCTAGCGGTAACATTGAACCAATGGTGAAAAATGGTAGAATAAGCACATACACACACCAGACATTACCGGATACTGGAGATTTGGTATTGATCTGAATAAGCTGGCTGGGCACGCCACAGATAGTTCAACTGTACACCCGAGTAAATACTCTAATCATAAGGGTTGTGGAGGTATAGGGTTCACCAGTAAACTGCACACAAGCCAATCTGCCCGTTGTACATAAGATAGTCAACTCAAATCACTCTGGAACGTACACTTTCCAATATCCACGTGCTGAGAGAATTCTGTGATTCTGTCGAGCCAAAAAAACAGATATGTGTTCTCGACACACATCAAGGTGGGTGAATCGCAAAATTCGCATTCGGCGGAAATCCTGTAACTCGACGCACAACCGGTCAGTGACATCGAAGGTTGCTTCATTCAGCTGATCGCGACAGAATGTTCTGAAAACCATTCGGACACAAAGTATGCCGTGCCTGCAGACAACTACATGCAGGGCGGTTAATTGGCGTCGACGATACCTGTTGTCTGTGAATTCGAAATCGGTCACGCAGGCTTCGAAAAGATTTCAGTGTGAACAGAATTACTCAAACTGTTGGCACATCCAACTGAAAAATACTCACCAAAAACCTAGTACTGCTAAGTGAAGTCAGTTACAGTCAACCACTTTTTGACAGCCATCATGAAAGCGGATTTCGTAAACCCTAACGCTCGTGAGCATTTCGAGCAACGACCTAACATTTTGGTGACAGTAGCCAGGTCTATCAGGCCGAGGTGCGCATATTTGTGCAACTATACGACAATTACAATGTCTAACCGGGGAATTTATCACTGCTATTACAAAGTTTGCTGGCACACAAACATGAAGACTGGCGTCACGCAGCAAACCCAAATGGGCGAAATCCCCAACACCCATAACCGCATTAAAATTGAGTTTGTGGGTTAACGACCAGTTTTCTCAGGATTGAGGAACGGCTAATTGAGATCATAATAGTCTCTACAGAGAAACGTTTCTTCTAACCCCTTTTGATGTTGAAACTGTAGCCGCATATTGGCATTTTATTCAATCTTTGAACAAGTTTCGTGTGCAGTGTCCGAGGCAGACATTATACATACTGAAAGAGAGACAGACACCGAGGTACGTAGAAGGAGTCGAAGTGGTTGGACACCTTTGCAAAATGAAGGAAAGCGGTATTCCAGCAGGGCTGCCACACTGACAAACGAATACCAGGAAATGGGACCGTGGACGACAGAAGCGGTGATACCTGAACATAATGGCCGGAATTTCGAGAGCTAATTGCATCGCTCTGGTAAAGTGGATGACAAAAAACGAAACGGAAAACGAGACTATGAGGCGTTGTCCGTCACGTCGGTGATCGGTAGCTTGGAGCGGACCGATAGAAGATCATGTGATTGTACAGACAACTTTCAATGGAAGATTTCGCTGTATATCTTACGAACAAAAGGATTGAACACCCAACTACACTGTACAAGTGCACAGCCGAGTTTCATGTGGTCTATCCTTTTCGGTCCATACAGAGTATCCACGTTACGACCTTAAGTGGAATGGCTCTGATTTCATTGACAGAAGCGGGACTTTTCAACAATCAGGGAAATAAGCACGGTTTTCTCCGGAGTATGAGGAAAGAACAAAGTGATAGTTTTAAGGGAGTTTTATTTCTCCAACGTGTTTTAGGGAGACCCTTCCAATCATGTGTGGGAAGAAAAGAACAATGTGTCGAAATATGGTTGTCATATGCAGTAATTCCTCCTCCCAAGACGGACCACAAATAACAAGAGGATATTCACTTCAAGCGGGGGATTGTCCCCCGTCCATGGGATCGCAGGCTACGCCGCGCCAGATAAGGAAGGTTGATGTAGGTTTTCTAAGGGAATGACCTTTCTAAGGAAGTGCCTCACTATGAGGATATAACGGTAGGGGATTAAATAACAAAATAGAAAAACTAGGGTAAGCGGATCACTTAGCTCATCAATAAATCCAAAGGGCTAGGGGATATCAACGGATACAGAGGTGAATACATGGTAAGCGGTAGTCCATAGGCTGGCGGGCGCATAATTTTCACTTTTTCCTAGCTCACCAGGATTCTGCTACCTAGTCTGCTGCGCGCATTCAGTCGTATGTAGGGGATCCACTGTCATTGCAGTGTGTGGAAGGGCTAAGATAAANGTGAGATGGCACAGTTAGTGGACAGGGTTACAATGGTGACTTACGTTGTCCTCAAGTCTATCCATCTCCGGTTCCGTGTCAAGTTTAGATTAGGGGGCACGGGTGTGGTGTAAACAGTCAGGACGTAATGACCAGTCGATGTCCTGGTTTCGGATTTTAGAACTAACACGCTGACCAGCCCATATCTTGCCTAACCGTGGAGTTGAACGACCGAACCTCAGTGCCCACTGGTCCGACCGTGGCGTGAAACGGTTCAGTGCCATCACCTACAGCATGTGGCAAGTCCCTCAACCCTTCCACTGTTGGTGAGCAAGTCCGTAGCAAATGGAACCAATGAAAGCTGAGCATAGTTTATGAATAATGCCGGGGTTATTTTTATCCATTAATGTGCACCTTTTAATCATCTGAAAATGCCGAAATGGGGCTGAAGTGTGGTAGCCCAGTAGAACGTTTGTTGTTGCGAAACAAACTAATAGTCTGTGTTTATCGAACCAACGCCCAAACTCTGCGTGACAATCCTACGACACACAAGGCCGTGTAGTTAACACATAACAGATATCTCTGCAGACGTCGGATACCAACCGATTTCCTGGCGGAGCACTCATTATCTCCGGAACCAATGAAATGAACTTTGTAGTCACGTGTAAGTCAGCTCATCCTATCAAACGAAACTTGCAGAACACGAAGAAAACGTCAGGTACCCTCATTTTTACGGAAGATTTAACTGAATCCAGCCGAACCCCTCGCTTCCAATGATCTTCTTCAAGTTTTCAGCAAGTTATGGAGTGCGATATGTCTAGACATAGAAGAGAACTTCTTCGAAAACTCATGTCATTTCTCATCGGCAAAAAGTACTCTAGCTCCAGCTGACGGACAGTATCATACACGTGTTGACCTGTCAATACTGTGCATAAAAATGTACACTGATAAGAAGCAATAAAATATCCGGACCTACTTGAGCTGTACGAGAATGCAGCTGATATTACGGTATTTGTTTGGAGATGAGGATGCTGTACCCAAGAATGTGATTTCCGGATAGGCATCCTCTACTGAAGTTGCTGAAATGACAACAGTGAGTGGGAAGTGTAGAGTGCTGTAAGAATTAAATCGAACATGAAAATAAAACCAATGAATAAGATTTCTAAGACATTTGAAAATGGCGGGCCGTTGCGTAACCAAGCAGAGTTACATTTGATTGGCTACGGAAAGGTGCTAGCGGTAA